AGGAATGCTAGCTGCACTCGCCTTTCTCCAGCACTCTCCAACACTCTCTCATGTAAAATGTCCACGTAACAAAATTTGGCTCACAATTCAAAGTTTCCAACTAAAAAAGTTGACGTGACTATTTTAGATGAGGGAGTGTTGGAGAGTGGTGGAGAAAGACGAGTGCAGCTAGCATTCCTCATTTTGATAATGGAATCTCGTTCTTTGTCAGCTCAGCTATAATAATGAGTCTGAATAACAGTCGTCAAGAGTCTCGGGCATTTCTTTCTCTTCGTCTGCTCTGCTTTAATTATTGAGTCTCAGTGCACTTCGCTTTCGTATCTAATGACATTAAGTGACGTTTAAATATATTTATTTTAAATAATAATTTAATTTTGATTTTTTATAAAAATTATTAATAATAAAAAAAATAGTCTCTCGATAATAAGTTTCGTACATGTTATTTTTGTCAGGAGTCTCGTCCATGTCCTTTCCTTTGTCCGCCCTACTTCGAGTCTCGATAATAGTCTCCTACATTTCTTCTTCTTTGTCAGCTCCAAAAATGGAGTTTCTGACATGGAGTTTTGTAACTTTAATGGAGTCTTTGAATTGTCTAATATTTATCCGCTTCTTTCTCCTTTCACCCAACAAGGCAGCAATTAGTGATTGGTCAAGTCAAGCTCAATTTATTCATTTTTACATTGCTTAGGAACCTATTATATTAAAGTATAAAATATGATTTGATTAATTTATATTTTAAATATATAAGTTAAATTTTATTAATTATAAAATTTATAATTAATTTTATATAAATTTTTATATTAAATTTATATTTTTATATATTTTAAATATAAATGTTATATTATATTTTAATTTTATATTTTTTTAATTAAATTTAATGCAAGTGTTGAAAAACTCCTTTAAAATAACTTCTAAATCTGCGCGTAACTAAGGAGTGATTCACACAGCCTTTTCTAACTTGATATCCATGTGGTGTTTGATAAGAGAAGATCTTCATTGGGTGGGGACCGTGTTGTCTCAGTCTCTCAGACTCGTCTACTTCATTCATCTGTCAACTTTCCCCCGCACCCCAAGAAGGTGGCAGACAGAAGACAGCGAATCAAGAAATTTTGCTCTATCCCCGGGATATCACTCACGTGATATTCCGGGTCAACTAAAAAATGCTATTTCAATTTTTTTACACCTCATTAAGTGACTAACAGAAAAAAATTAAGATGATAATTTTTGGTTCACTTGAGATACTACATCAGCAGTATCTGGAGGCACAACAAAATTTCCCGTTAACTTCACATACGTTGTTGCTATACTTTTCTTTAGCACGTTTCCACGACATCTGTTTTCTTATTGTTATATCGGTAAACTTTTTGTTATCCCAAAATTTTGACTCGAAGTAAATGTTGGACCTCAACCTTCACTTTGATGGTTTTGTAGTCCCCACATTTTTGTAACCAAAATAGTCTCTCATTTAATTAGTTGCCAAGATTTCAAAATTAACAGGTGTTAATTGGAAATGGATGGAGAAACAATTTTAAGATCTTATGGAAAGAAAAGAGGGACGATCTTGTTTTCCAAAAGTTTAAGGATGAGACAAATTAATAGAGAGGAAAAAGGGCTCAATTTAGTATATGGTATTGGTCAATTAAGGTGGGCTAAAAGTTAAAATGTAATCTTCTTCGGTTAGGTGGTGTATTTACATGATGTCATGAAGTTTTGTTTTAGCGAAAACTATTGTGAAGCTCCTTGACTCTTTTTATATTTTCATATAGGTCCTTAAAAAAATGACATGTAAGTCTATAAACGTGTGGATTTGAGCAAATTAATTCTTGTGTTTAGGCAAAATCATATGTGGTTTTGTAAGTTAAACAATTAATTTTTTATCTTGTGTGACAATTTTTTTATATTTAGATGCTACTATGATATAAAATTCAATCCTCTTACTCTATATGATGAAAATTTTGAGTTATATAATGTACATATTAAGTAAAAGAATTATCAAATCAGCATTTCAATATAAAGGAATTGTCACATAAATGAGAAAAAATAAATAATTATTTAACTTATATAATCTGACGTGATTATGTTGATAACACAAGCTAATTTACTTAAAACTAGGCATTTAAGGGCTTATATAATACTTTTTTTTTCTTTGAAGGCTTATGTGAGAAAAGGGACAAAGTCTAGACTTAAGATTGCGTTTTCCCCCCTTTTCTTTCTTACGGCAGGACACGACGTTCTGTAGTTGTTGACATGAAATTTCGTTTGGAAAACTAAAGAAATTTTGACAAATATTTCTAGGCTAGTTTCGAGTAAAATATTGTCTAAATTAAAGTGATAACAAAGAAATAGTTAATAGATTAAACATAAAATTTAACGGGTGAGAAACAATTATCTACTTGTCTCGTTAAAAAAAAAAAAGGAGTGCTACTGAAAGAGTAGACTTGATGGAATCAATTTTCAGCATTCTTCACTAATTAGAAGGGAGGTCTAGATTTGTGCAATGATCTTCATATTCGTGTAACTCCAATCCGTCCAATACTAGAATAATGGAGTCCTAGGCATGTCTATGTCTTTCAGCTTTCTCCCCTGAATGGCACTATTATATGTAGCCTAAAAAAAAAAATTACATATTCAATTATTAAAAGTCATGATTAAAATATTAAAATATGACTTCATCAATTAGTCAGGATGAGAAGAGAAAATAATAAAATATGAGGTTGCTCGAAGGTTAAAATTGCGTTGTGTCGTGTAGTTATTGATGCAAAACATCTTTAGGAAAACTAATGGCCTTTGATCAACAAACTAATTTGTCATTACCTATTTTCAAAAAAAAAAAAAACACTAATTTGATGCATTTCATTAATTTTTCAGACTATTTTTTTTTTAAAGGAGTTTATTGGAGGAAGAAGCAACTACAAAACAACAGAAATAAATATTATTCCCTTATCTACTGTAGGAGTTTTTTTTACTTTAACTCAATTTATATATTTTTTAAGATAAATTTTTTTAATTTAATTAAAATAAATTATATAGATTAAAATTAAAAAATTTATTAAAAAATTATTTTTATTAATTTTTTAAAAAAACAATTTTTAATTAATAAAATAAATAACTAATTTTCTTGAGCAGTGCTAGGGGCAACCCCCACCTGCACTTTCCAACTAACACTGTCCATCCATTTGGCCACGTCGTCTTACTTTTAATGTGATGGAAGAGTAACTGACCGCAAATCTCCCTTTTTTTTTTTTCTTTTTTTTTTCTCTTTATCGAGTTAAATTAATTTTTTTAAAAAAAGTCGAAAAACAAAATTGCCTTCGTCTTCCTCCCTCATCCTTCCCCATCCCCTCTAACCAGCCGTGGCCATGGGCGCCTGATCTGGGAGCTCCAATGTTATAAACTTATAAAATTTTAAAAGATTTAAAATTTTAAACCAATAAAAGCAATAATTTCAAACTTCGCTTCTTATTTTTACTACCCAATTAGTGAAAAGGTGAGAATTAAAGACAAATTATTGATAAATTGCTCATTTAATGGTTAAATCGTTTGCTTAATTCGCCCACAGGTAAATTCACTATTATCTATTGAAAAAAATCACATTTTTTAAAGAAATATTAAGAGAGTTAAAACTTAAAAGATACTACAGACCCATTAATACCACATAAAAATCTTTTACCTTAACCTCAACCTCTAATACCCAAATGAATGAAAGTAACAACTGCACTAATTCAATCAAAAAGGCTAATCTATAGAATAAGTTCAGAATTTTTTTCAAAAAATTTTCCTTTCATGAAATTTTTTTAACGGTTTTTAAACTAGTAGAGCACGTATTAAAATTATTTTTTATTATTAATTTATATAAAAATATAAAAATTATTATTAATTTTAATAATATTATTAAATACATAAATTTAATTTAGATCTGATGATTATTTCCCCAGATGATCGGAAATAAATTTAATTAAATAATTAATAAGTAAAAATAAAAATTTATTATTTTAATATAAATTTATAGTAAAAATATATATTTATTAATTTTTACACTCTTACCCTCAACTCCACAAGAAAAAAAAACTTTTTCTTTAAACTTTATTTTATTATAAACAAGCTATCAACAGTTTCCAGTCAATCCTTTTACAGCAACGTGACGTGGCCAAATAGATGAGCAGGTGTTGATGGGCGATGCAAGGGGCCATTGTTGCTAGCAGAACTCAATTTTTTTATTAAGTAAGTTATAATTTTTTTGTATTTGTTATATTTTTTATTTTAAATTATATAATAAAAAATAATTTTTTTATTTTTTTAATTTATTGTATTTACATATTACACTACTTAAATTCAAAATTTTTTATAAAAATAGTGCTGCTAAAATAGGAAACATGCAATTAACTTTGAAATTTCTTCACTTCTAGGGAGCGGTACAAAGTTGCGCTAATCTTCATACGACTGCTGCAACTTTTGAGAAATTTCAATAATGGAGGCTCCAACATGTATATATTTTTTTTCAGCTTCAATAATGAAGTCTCTGGTTTTAGAACTTTTCTTCAACACGTTTTCCACTACATCTGTTTTCCCATTGTTGCGTAGGTAAATTTTTTTCCCCTTCTACCAAAAAAAAAATTATTATTTTTTCCCCCAATTTTTGTCTCGAAGTTTATGTTGGACCCCAACCTTCACTTTGATAGTTTTGTAGTCCCCACATTTTTGTAGTTCCCAAAATGGTCTCTCATTTGAGTAGTAGTTGTTGTAAAATAAAGAAAAAAATATTTAGAAAAAGCAGAAAGAATTACGGAGACATGGCGAGGCAATGCAAATAAATGTGATATTTCTATTCTTTCC